ACTAGCGGCGTTCTCGCCCGAGCGCCGGGTCTCTGGCCACATCCGGAAAGCTGCTAACAAAAGCCGGGTTCTGGAAAATGGCTTTGGGCCTGTGACACAAACAGAGGCGATGCAGTTGAAGCGAATCCAATGCAACTGATACAGCAGACTCTTGACGAAAATACCCGGCGGCGCACATCTCTTGAGCCACGTACATCGTCAGGGCGCCAGACACCCTGAAGTGGCAGTGGCAGGGGCAGGCTGAGGCTCGCACAAGACGAAACTCCACGTTGGCTCAAAACAGCACCGCAGCGGAGTTCGTGCCATGTGACGGCTTCTGGTTCTCTGGTACAAAGTGAAGTTCCTTTTCAGCACTTCTTGGGACTGTTCAAGCTCGCGAGCTATACCCCCCGGGTTCCCGATCGTGCTTGAACTCACCGACCTATGGTAAGGCAAATCGGCCAATATCTGACAGAGGGCATGAGCCGGCTGAGCCATGAGATGACATGTGAGCTCTGCACATGACTCTGGACTCTGGAGGATGAGTGCAGAAGCCCAAACAAACCGTGACGATGCTGGCCAAGAATGGGGACACGGGGAGTAGCAGAAGTCCTGACACCCGCATGTCAAGTTGCCTAAATAGGACGGGGTACGTATGCTTGGAGGGTTCCCGAGGGCCCTGCTTTGGGCTGCCCTGACCATTCACTAGACCGATGAGGCACCAGTCGCCACAGCCTCAGCTGCCCATGTCATGGAAGTTGCAACAACGGCCTCTCAAGACACCGCATCGGGCCCTGGCGAGACACAAAGCCACGCTCGGCGAGCAGGTCCGAAGCAGCAGCCTGCAAAGAAAACAGCAACCCAAACACGTGCTATAGAGCTCTTGCTATAGGCTATGGCGACATGTCCACATGTGCCTTCTCATGCCACGTTATGGCTAACAAGCCGCGCGAAGAATTACTCTTAGAAACCACGCTGAACAGAAATTCAATACATACACGCCGGTCCAGCCTGCTGCCTCTACCTTTTCAGTGGAAACACGAGGTTTCCAGAAGGATGTCCCCGAAATAGAGCAAGAGATTTGCATTTTCTGCCGGGGGGGGGCTCGGGGGCTCTGCTCGTTGAGCTCAAATACAAGGTTTGCAGAGCCTACTTCGGAAGCTCCCCCCTGCCTGGCCAACAGCGCCAGAGACCTGGACAAGCCCAACAAGGCACAGCGTCCAGTTATCATCAAGACATAAACACACTGACGCGGTTGAGGCTTCATCCCGAATGCACCATGTTCAGTGACCGAGACCGCATGGGGCCTTCATGTTGTTCTTTGACATGAGGCCGGACAGCGCTTTGGTGAAGGTTGCCTCCGCGGCGCACAGGTCTGTTCCCCGAAGCGGCAGGCTACGCCACTCATACCTATGGCAAGCCGAGCAAGTTGCTGCAGGCTCGCTTCGCAAGCGGAAGCAGCAGATTGTTCTGTGCACAGCGAAGGTCGCAAGAAGATTCTTTCAACTTTTCCCCAAAGATTCCTTCAACTTGCCCCAGCGGATTGCCTAAACCCTAAACCCTAAACGGTAGTTGAAGACACCGGAGTTCAATCAATGTTGGTTGAGAGAAACGAAAGAAGTTGACGAATCGGGCTTAGACCGCGAAGCGAATTCTTCGCCTTCTTCCCTCGCTGCAGGGGCAGTGCCAGTCCGCACCTGCTCTCCAGGCAATGCGCAAGGCATGGGGAGAGAGAATCCACCCGAAGCGGCAGCAGAGTGCTCCAGTTTTGACCGCGCCGCCGAAACGTCGAGCATCATCCAGCAGCCGTGCCTGGGAGCTACCACTCAAAGAGCGACTCCACCTGGCCAGGGCCAAGCAGAGTTTCGACTGACCTTTGCGCCATCCCCACTGCCACTGACCCGCCGACCCGCCCAGCCTGCGCCGCCTTTTGGAACTCCCGGTGTGAATCTGGCACGGCCGCCTCAGCACTCGGGAACTCCTCGGCCAGGGGACGAGGGCAATCGCCCGGGAAGGTCTCGTGAAGCCACCTGAGTCCGCCCTACTCTCGAGTTCTTCTCTCTCTTTCTTTCGTCTGCTCTCTTGAAAGGTGCATCAGGTCAGAGACCGAGTCGTCATGCGATGTCCCGCGGTCTGAGACCGGGGCTGTGCAAACTGACGGCCGTGGACCATCACCTCCAACCAAAGCAATAGGGCCAGCTTGTGGACCAAAAGTGCCCAAATCCTCGCCCAGTGGCTGTGCCGTCTTCCGCGAGGTCCTCGAGCGCCTTGAGGCCGGCAGCCGACAGTGGCTTTCCCCCTGGCTGCGAAGTCCCAAAACCCCCCACGGCGACGGCCGCACGCAATTGGTTTCCCCGCCTCGGATCTCAGCTGCCAGTGCTGTTATGGCCTCCACAGCCTCGCGCCCACCCGCGATGGCAGCCTCGAACTGCGCTTTGTGGCCTGCAGCGGCGCCGGGCACACAAGGCTCCTATGCCAAAAGAGCCTGAGATGCACCTTCACAGGTGTTCGGGCAGCACAAATCGTAGAAGCCTCAAGAAGCAAAGGCACGCATGGCAGCTGCCTTTAGTCTGGAAGCCCACCCCAGAGCGCAGTTTTTCCACCAAGATGCTCGTCGTCCCATCGCAGTTGGAAGGCGAAAGCCTAGCAAAAAACTGCCGAGCCCTCTCTCCTGCTGCCCAGAGCCCGTTTACATAATAAATTTCCAGGCGAAGGCACATGTAGTTGGGCACCAGCACCATGGGGGAAGGGCTTTGCTCGTCGAGGGCGCCGACCATGCGCAGGTACTCCGTGGTCTCTCCTGGCTCAGTCGGTGCACCCAAAGCCCACTGACCTCTGAGTCGCGTCAAACTTAACACAAAGCGGCGGAAGAGGTCGCCCTTTCGCATGGCCGCCAGGCCCACCTCGCAGTGTGCCCGGAAAGCGTCGTGGCACATGCTGAAAATTCAAGAACGCCTAAGGTGTAACATACGGCCTGACAAGATGCAAATCGAAAGTCTGCAACACGAAAGGAACGCCAGCTTTGAAGTGACATCCTCTAGACTCGCCAGCAAGCCTTCAAGTAGCAGAGAGCGGGCATCCCTAGAGCCGAGGCAACACTTGCAAGATGTCAGGACAACGAGTCATCTGGACACTGGAAATCTCGATTTGGGCCATGCCTTGCCGTCTTCACCGCCGGGCAGTGCAGCAAGAGACCGAGCCATGCTTGCACCTCGGGAAAATGACCGGGAAAGCCTCACATGGACACTTCGCTGCCCTACAAAATGCATTCTGGTCCTGAACTCCGAACTTGTCCAACACCGTCAGAACACCGTTTCGACCCAGCCACTCGGTGGAAACTCGAGACACCCAAGTGGGCTATCGCTATGGGAGAGTGGAGACGTGCTGCGCTGCTGAGGCACACATCGAACCCGAGACCTCCCGGAAGCTCTCGAGGACCTGAGCCACCCAGCAGATCGCAGAAGCCTCGCTGAGCCTCTTCTTCCCTAACCCCTCCCTGGCCCTGGCCTTCTCGGAAGCAGCGGCTGCATCATCGAAGGACAGGTCACTCCCTTGAAAGACACGGAAGCACGACAGGACCAAGGCTAGCCGGCTCCCGGCCCCTGCGGCCCCTGCCTGTGGACTCGGACACTCTCTGAATTTCACTGGCGATGGAGTCCCGGATTCTGCCCCAGCCTTCCTCAGCGCGGGAGTCTGGAAAGGAAAGTCCAGGAGCCGCGTAGTGCTACGCGGTTGGCGCCAAGTTTCGTAGACGCGATTCACGAAGGCGACCTCCTCGCGTCCCTTCTCCAGCGTTAGGGCATATCCGCTGTCAGCCTTCTGGCTGACGAACACGTAGTGGGCCATGAAGACCTCCTTAGACTCGCAGGCGGGCCGCGGGGACGGCCTTTCTTGGGCAGCGCGGGCACGAAGCATGCAGAAGGACGGAAGGACGAGAAGACGGCACAGCATGGCTTTTGCCCAGATGCCAGCACGCTCTCCAGGCCTGCTGCATCTGTGACGTCCTTCCGCAGCCGTGCCATGCCGTGCCGGTCATCAACTCTCGCACCACATGTTCTGCCAGCCTCCATGTTCAGGTCATGAACGGACCAGCTCTGCTTGAGACGTTGTCCTTGCTGACACCGGCACGTGACGGTCGCATTGAGACAGAGCCACATCGTGCGGGTTAGAGTCGCTCGTCTCCATGCAGCAGATGCTCCAGCGTTGCCACGAAGACCGTCTCAGAAGCAGAACAGACGTCCGTGGCGTAACTTCAGACTGCGGGATATTGCCGGACAAGGCACCAAAGTCTTGAGATTCAGGCCGGAGCCCACCTTCGAGGCACCATGCCAGAGACCGGAGCTGTGGAGTTGGGATCAGGGCCTTCAACTATCGTCACCCTTCCTCTAGCAACTGAGACCCAAAGAAGCCCTGGTGGCGACTGCCGCGCCTTCTGCTCCAAAACCTGGATGCCAAGCACGGGTTCAGCGCTGCTGAAAACAACAGCTGCCCTAACCGTCGTGCCGGGCAACTTGCAGCAGATGCCCTGCCACCCGACTTCGCAGCGCCTCCTTGTCACGACCAGCTCTCTGGCCCTGGCTCTCTGTGAAAGCAACAGGGTGCCTTGTGATCGGGAGGCTGGCGACCGTCTCCAGCTGGATTCAACCCACGCACATACCTCTGATAGGAGGTGCAGTGATCGCGTCGCACGGCCTGCCCATGTCCCCGATAGCAGGGGCTCCAGCCAGGAGTGGTGGCGCAGGAAGTACTGGTGCAGCAGGTACCGGGCAGAGGAAAGGCCGAGCCCACCCTGAAACGGTTTCATTGCGACTTGTCAGAGGCCCCAAGGCTGGAAATTGGCCCTCACCTCGATGTCGGCCAGGGGGTACTCATGAGGCAGCGTGGCATAGAGCGGGCGCAGGTCCTGGGACCGACCCTCATCCTCTCAGCTTCCGTCTCAGTCTCGGCAGAGGCCAGTCGGTCCTCCTCTAGTTTCTGCAGCCGGGAGCCGTCGAAGGCCGAATGGTTCCTGAGCTCCGCAGCAACTCTGTTTGTCATTGAGATCATCCCCAGAACATTTTGCGGTTTTCCCCGCTGAGTACTACTTGAAACGCCGAAGACCAGCCACCCAGCCAGGCCAGACTCGATCTCCGCCACGAGAGCACGCTCCAACCTCACCGAAAATGCTGAGTCACATCCCAAACACGGAGGTCCCCGCACAACAGGGCTTGGGCCAGGGCCTGGCACGGCTCTCCTCCTCGTCGCAATCCGCCACGGACTTGCGAAGCCTGCGAACCAAGCGCCGGTCTGCGCAATGCATGCGCCAATGCAACCGCTTGACACCAAGCAAAACCAAACGAGAACTGAAAGGTTCCTGGTCTTCACGAGCCGGGGACGTGCCAGTGACGTCAAAGCGCAGACGCCCGGACTAAGCCCTGCACGGCAAGTGCCAGGGTGGTTTGGCAGTGAGGCGGGTTCAGGGTGCTTCGTGTTGGGTTGGAACCTGTGTTCCTGCGGACCTTGACCGGCGGCATTCATGGTGAGCAGTCTCAGGGTGCAGAGGCCCTGGCCTTCGGCCGTGCAGGACTCGTCGTCGTCGCTGTAGCCTCGGTCATCTGAAACCCCGGAAGCGTTCAGGCCCCCCCACACGATGCATGATGCTCACTGAGTTCCGGAACGGGCACCATGGGCGCCGAGCGAATCTGCGGAGATCCTGGCAATTCAAGGCTTCAGCCCGAATAGGAGGCGCTGCTTCGCTTATCTTCGCTTCTTGCTTCCGAGCTGCTCTCCGGAGTCGTCGAAGGTTATGGAGGTCTCCCCGGAAGTCTCTGTGGTCTTCGAGCCCCGGAGCCTGCGCCAGATGCCCGACCCTGCGGAAGCTTGCGCCACGGGCCTTGATGCTGCACATCACAGGGGCGCCTCGACTGCATCAGCACAACCCCCTCGGCAGATATTGCCGCGACGGCGTTCGGCTGGGAGCCGAGGGCTACGATGAACAGAAAGAAGCGCCTCGTTCCATGTTTTGCGAAACGATAGTGCGGCGGGAGTCTTCCCTGGCTTCTGGGAGCTGAGGCCAAGGCATTGCCATTGCTTCGCTAAGCAGATGTAGCGTAAATCACTCAGAGCTGAGCGGCTGCGGAAGAGATCTGGGTACCAACTTCAAACCACAGAAGGCTCTTGGAATGTGTTTCTAACGACTGTCATGGTTTGAGTGGAGGTCTTGTCGGACTTGCGGACCTGCCGCATCCAAAAACAATCTTGGGTTGCCTACACAGGCAAACAAACATCGGCTTAAAACATTGGGAACGTATGCTACGCATGCTGCTGACGGCAAGCCACTTCGGCAGCCAGCCATTACGGCCATTACAATCAGTCGAGTGAAGGAAAAAAATCGCCGATTGCACCTGCAGCGGAGGCCCTCCATGAGCTCCTCTGGTAGGAGGGTAATCTCCCCGGGCCTCAGTGTTTTCTACAGCTTCCGCCATTCTTCCTACCCTGCTGCTGCTGTCAGCTGAAGCAACCCTATCTGCATTCCTTACCTCACCTCGTTCCTTTTCCTTGATCTGGGTACCATTGGACCATCTTCTCTCTCGGCATCGAGCTGTGCCATGAACTCCCGCAGGCCATGCCTGCAGCGTCAAGCGTATGCATGAGGAAGACCAACAGTGCCAAGCGTATGCCTCGCACTAACCATAGTTATCAACGGTTATCGGTTATCATACTCGTCGACAAAGCTCATGGCACAACATTGCATCTACGAAAAACACATAAATGTGTGTGTGTGTGCACATGTATGTGTATACATATATACAGACACCTATGTGAGCACGACAGGAAGAAGCAAACACGCGAGTACGTTGCTAGCAGCGCCCGTCAACTATGCGACAGCAGTTAACAGGAAGTACCGAAGTCAGGGGCGCCGGTTCCGGGGGCCATGCTGTTGGACCAACCGGTCGTCCTCGTCTGGGAAACCGTCCAGATCCTGATAGCGCGCTTTTTGAGAACAGTTCTGGGTTGTAGATCTGTACTGCATGGTACGTTAGGGAGTACATAAGTTAGGGCAGCTTTGGTTTTTTTGATGGCACCGTTTCTGTGAACGTACAAACTTCACAGGAGTGCAAAGAAGCTGCAAACGTCTTGCTGCCCCGTCCGCCGAGGAAGCCGCTGCCGCTCCGATCTTCTGGCAAATTCGGTATATCTCCCCAGTTTTGCCTGACAGTTCTTGGGTTAACGGATACGGCATGGAAGAGTGGCGACTCTGACAAAAGACAGAAAGCAGAGCGATTGAGATAAACAAGCAAGCAGGCGACCGAAACGGACTGAAAGCCGCGCGAAAAGACTGCACGAGTAGCGAAGCCGCCGGAAAAGTACTAATGACATTACATTGCGAGAGTGAACCTCATGAAAACGACTTGAGAACCGGATAAGGGGAGAGCAAACACGTCCAACCCGACGAATGATTTGTGCCACCTGTGCAAGAAGGCTGGCAATCCCACCGGAAAGTGATTCTATTCTCTCTGTCGGTTGATTAGCGTCTGCGATTGCGAGCTCCATATCCTACCTTGCAGCAGCAGGTATGAGTGCCTCCTCGGTGCCAACCAGCTTTCAGAAACCCAACTGCACAACTGGAAGATGCCAGGGTTTCGCTAAAGTTCAGCCTCCCTCCCATGTTGAGCCCCAAAACACCTAATTCGTTCAATTGGTAAAAATCCAGCATCCAGCGGTCGTGGCAACGGCAGTGACGGTGCCGGTGGACGTGGCCGTGGTCCTGGTGGTGGTGGTGGTGGTGGTGGTGGTGGTGGTGGTGGTGGTGGTGGTGGTGGTGGTGGTGGTGGTGGTGGTGGTGGTGGTGGCGGCAGAAGCGGCAGGAGCAGTAGCAGTAGCAGTAGGCAGTGGTCGTAGTGGTAGTAGTAGTAGTAGTAGTAGCAGCAGCAGCAGTAGTACTAGTTGTTGTTGTAGTTGTTGTTGGAGCAAGAGAAGGACGAGGAGGAGGAGGAGGAGGACAGGACCAGCAGCAGCAGCAGCAGCCCCGAATGAGCAACGGCATCTGCATGCGCCACGTCTCAACGGCCCAGACAGGCCTTTCATGGCAGCCGTGTTCATGGCAACCCGAGTAGTGTACCTTCGTCGATCCGGAGCGTGGCAGTACCACCCATGCTAAGAACAACATCACCGGGAGGGGTGCGAAGGTTCCATCTCGTAACGTCCTGGTGCAGATTCATGGTGATCTCTCGTCTCTACATGGTCCTTCTACCATCTGGCTCGGAGCAGATTGCAGGATCACACTGTCCTAAACACTCGTAGCTTGCATGGGCCGCTTCTGCCATGATGGCCTCCAGCACGTCCTGAGCCAACTCCACGGTTGGTGCTCTTGGCTGTGGATCAGGAGCTCACAAGTACATAGAGGAGTCCTCCTTCTGTGTAACGCTGGTGTATTCACCTGCCAATGCTCAAGCATAGAGGAGGAGTGGTCCAAGAAAACTTGCACTTCCAGCCTGTGACTTTCTTCAATATTTTTTGGATTTCCGTCAAATCTCGGTGCATGAGGGAAGGATTTCTGCTGGCAGGCGAAAGCACGGCCAAGTGTCTTGCGAGATTCATCGGCGGTCGGACCTCAGCCACTTGTATTGGGGTTTCTGTGACACGATCTTGCAGAGGGCAAAGAGGTGAAGCGGAAGCCTCAGCCTTGGCATCAAACCGATGGCCAGTCGGGCCAATTTCCACTTCGAAGTTGTCGAAGGTCGTGTCTCGGGAGTTCAGCCGTTTGAAACACTGCACACCTCTGTGCGAGAATATCCGAGTGGGAAGCTATGTGCTTCGTGTTCTGGCGTGCCCCAGACCTGCAGGGAACAAGCCATTTCAAGGGTCATGGCTGAGGAGAAATCTCTGCGAACTTGAAACCCGCGACACGTCCACTTTGGCCTGCTCTCCATGCTTTGCAGCACACTATCTCGGCACACCAAGCAAATGACGTCGAATGCCAACAAGCCTGCAGATCTGCCAGGGCCCGCACCCATGTGCTTCCGCTGTGGAGACGCGGGTGATGCAGGAATGTCCTTTCATCAGAGTGCATAGGGTGTGTGTTGTGAATTGCTGTTTGCTTCCCAGCCAAGGGAGGGATTCCTTCGGAGTTCGCGGAGTTCTCCGAGAGGCCTTCCTCAGCAAGTAGTGCGCTTTCTGATGTCTTTTGTGCGTCGTTGCTGTGTGAATGTGAGTAACCCGCCTCACACTCTGGCTCTCAGCTTCTGGGTGCTCTCCCAAAGCGTCCTGCAGTACCATAGAGTACGACCGGACCGCTTGTTCAAGACAATCTGTCCAAGGACACACGCGCGTGGGTAAAACCCCGTTCAGTTTCGTATTGCTGCCAAAAGGCAGAATCCAGAGTCATCCTGTCCCGCGTAGCCGTCCGCCTGGGATCCGAGCTCAGCTCTGATGCAATGGCAATGCCTCGACACCTCACTTCTTAAGACAGAAACCGAAAAGTTGCAGCTGTGCGTCGAGGCCATGCTCGGAAGCCCCCGAATGGGCAAGTGCAGGAGCACCTGGACGACCGGGGCGCTGAAGATGAATGTTTTCTCGCATGTTCCAAGGTGGAGGTGTCAACCTCGCCCACTTCACCCAACCTGGCCCGAGCTGCCACGTCGGAGTCTTTCGGAACGCCGCAGCAAATTGCTCTGCGCGGCACGACGAATGCTTCCGCTATTCAAGCGGACTTAAAGCTTGCATCGAGCCCAGTTTTTGCTATCACTACCACAGTGCAAGGTTTCGGGGTTTCTGAATGTCTCTGGTCTGATGTGCATGCACTGCTTGTCCAGAAGCAAGAAGCTGTCGAGCCAGCCATAACCACTCGAAAATCCGAGCCTGCCCTCACGTCTGACCACCACCCGAAAGAAGCTCTGTCGGCTGCACTTGAAAGACGGTCACAGCGCTCCCAGTTCGGACGGCTCGCCGCTGATCATCTGTCGAGCGCTTCAAGTAGAAGACCTGTCATCGAACGACTCCGATGGGCTGGCTACAACCTTATGCGACCACTACTGCAAACACCACTCTGTTGAACAGATTCCTGTGGCATGCTGACCAACCCTCCCCACCCTCAACGAGGAGATCGATCCAAGCCTCGGCAAACATGTGCTGTCACTCTTCTAGCAGTGGTCGCTCTGTCTAGCGAGCGAGCGACCTTGACGGCAATGGAAACTGTTGACCGAGTTTTCCCCAACATATGCAACAACCTACGAACAAGGACTGCCGAAGCCGTCTACATCTTGCTCCCTCACAACTCGCGCGCGCGCGCGCACTCGTAAGAGTTTGCCCAGATGACTGTCTCTGAACCACAGACCAACTCAGACTTTGAAGCCAAGGAAAGGAGGACCTGTCCGAAGTCCGAGGGCTTGGCTGCGGCATCCTGGGCTTTGGGCTCCAGGAGGGCTTCGAGTGACGAGGAATCATGTGTGACATGCCCTGCATGCTTGTGCAACTTGTGGACTTTAGTTGCTGGCTGGTGTATGATGTGTCGCCACAGCGATTCGACACTTACACGTAGCAGCAACCAAATTGTGTGCCGATCCGCTGTGCAGCGCCCAGCAATCCGTTGAGAGTTTCCTCTGTGTCATCCTGCGAAGCATGCAGACATCTGCTCACAGGAGTTTTACGGCTGCCCCATACAAGACCGTGTAAAGCAACCAGACATCCGCAGAACACCCCAGCACCGGCGTCCGCAAAGTGCCTCCAGAGTCCAAAGTGGATAGCCGCTGGTGAAGCACTGTTGAGCAACATGGTTGCCCTGCCAACACATGGATGTGGCGAAGCTTGGCGAGGCGACACAACACAGCTACACATGAGGCTGTTCAACGACTGTTCTGGTACTGCAGAGACATGATGGATAAGGCCTCGATCGTTCGATTTTCCATTTCCTGCGCACTCACCATTTCTTGCATCGCTCACGTGCATCTACTGCCTTTTCTCGTCTCTGACACCTGATGCATGTAACAAGTTTTGGCAACCCCGCCTTCTTGCCATTGAAATGAGTGTTGAGCAGCTCGCTGACAAACCTCGCTCTAATGGGAAATGCTTGCATCCTTTGGGTTCGCCATGCCGTTGCAGTCGGCCACAACGATTCATACATGATTCGGTGATAAGGTTGCGGCGCGTGTGGAAAGGCCCATGTGTAGCCGAAGGTTTCCCGCATGGTGTCTGCGATGACGAGGCCCGTCCTTGCAGACAAACCCGATCAAGTCACATTGAACTGCCTTGCTGTGGATTGCCACGACAGGTATGACAGGTGGAACAGATGTCCATGTAGATCGCCAGAAAAAGACAAGTCGCAAAAAGAGGGAGATCGTGCAACAGGACCGGATGCTTCAAGAACGACGACTCAGCAGAGGGGGCACTCCAGGCTCCTGGCATGGCATCTCCATTGCTGATGTGCTCCAGGGCCTTTCTCGAAACCACACCATAAGACGAGAGTCGTCACATGCGAGAATTGCAACAGGTAGCCTGGCTCAAGAGACCCTCCAAGTGCACGATTTTCGTGCTTCTCGGGCCAACACCAGGTTCTTGTAGACATCGGGGAAAGCCCCGACCTCAGCTTCACATCGGTGCTTTCGGGATCTTCCGCGCTGACCGCGCTGGCTGCCCCGGGTCCCGCCTCCAGCAGCAGCCACTTGTCGAGCGCGTTCCGGTCCTCGCCCTTGAAACGCACGTCGTACCTTCCAAGCTGGGAATGTGCTCGAACCACATGATGGGCCATGGAATCCCCGCGGCGGACACATCTCTTGTGATTTCGATGATGGGCAAGTCCTTGTCAAGAACGTCTATCCGAAACCCTTTTGAAGTAAGCACCTCCGTAAATTCGCTCGTCTCCTGCTTCTCGCTGCGGAAGGTCGCCTCCTCAGCTTGCTTTACGATGAACCTCGCAGCACCGGCACACACCTGGTCGACCCTCCTGTGCCCCGTGAGCAGACGCTGTCTGCCACATTCAACGTACGTCGGTAGGACCTGCTGATGTCGAGAGCAATCAGCTTAACCTTTGCTGCTGCAGATCACAAAAGCGAGTTTTCAGATGTCCTCCTCGGTCGATGCTGTCTGTTGGGCTCAGCTTGGGACGACTTTGGTCTTCCGGGGCTGCTGTGTCACCACCTGACGGGAATCTACGCGCGTGCAAGAAATAAGGCCGCAGGCCCGGCAGGCCACCTGCCACTCGTCGGGCCGCAGCTGCTTGCCATTCGGGGTGCGGATCAGGAGTCCGAGAACCTATCCAGACCAAGGATACGCGCCCTAGCTGCTGCGTCCCACTCGCCTCCAGGTCATCGTCAAAGTCCCCTTTCGTTGCCTCATCTGCACACGCGGGTAGACTCCAATGCAAACATGGCAAACACAGCTGGAGCTTTCTGCATCCCGTTGTTGTCTGCAATACCCGGACCCCACCCCTTTCCCCAACCCCAGGCCGTGCCACAACACAACTTGGCGGCCCACGATGGGTAACAGGAAAGGGTGAAGATCACCACCGATCTGGCAACAGGTGCGGCTTGTCTGAAAGCCGTTCTTGAGAAACCCTTCAGCAACTCGGGCTTTGCCGTCAGAGTGCATCACATATGAGAAAGGATTACAACATTTACTTTCCAACCACATCCGTCAACCTCAACCACGCCAGGGCATTACGGCTCCGCCTCCCTCCAGTCATTTTCTTCACCAAGGATCGTGTAGCCACTCGCCTGGTTGTACAAGTGGCATCAAGCGAGCGAGGGAGCGAGAGATAGATAGAGAGCGACAGAGACAGAGAGAGGGACAGAGAGGGCAGAGGCAGACAAACCGGGCACCTCACCTGCAAAACTTGGAGAAATGTCTCCAGCTTCTGAGGAGGCTTGACCTGAGCCATTCCGCTTCGCGGGCTTTCCCCGCGAAGCAAGTCTCTTATGTGCCAAGATGCTTCAAGCACATCTTTCAGAAGTGACTGCAAAGCCTTCACCTGCAGCTAGCATCGTCTAATGACGCTGACACAGAGCCACAGGAGGGAAAGCATGCCAAAAAGGCAAGAAGACAGGCAGACCACTGAATGGTCGCAATTGCTTGTACTCTGTGGTATTTCGTAGTAGTAGTAGTAGTAGTAGTAGTAGTAGTAGTAGTAGTAGTAGTAGTAGTAGTAGTAGTAGTAGTACAGTACATTGTAGTATGCGGTAGTATGTGGCCGTGCTTGGTCGTGCATCATAGTAGCTTTACGTGGCAGTGCGTACCGCAGCAGGTGATAGTTTGGGGTAGTACATGGTCGTATTTACACTTGATATAGTACTCACGTAGCAGCGGCACATGGTAGCACTTGGCAGTATGCAATACTATAGTACAACGTAGTAAGTGCCAGTACATGCTAGTACATGGTTGTACGTGGAAGTGCGTGGTTGTAGTGTGTAGTACTTGGTAGTACCCGGGAAAGCACTAGAAAAGTGTGTAGTTCGGCCGGTAGTTGTCAAAGGAAACAACCATCCAATTATCCGACAGGTCATGGAGGCAGTACAGACCCATGGACAGACAGACACAACGGCAGACCCTGGAAGATCAATGGACAGGCAGCTAAGCAGAAAGGAAAGCTGGTCGGTACATGTGACGGATAGGTAAGTGGACAGACACTGGAAGATCGATAAAACTGGGTAGTTACAAGACAAATGATATATAGACACATCACGACCTGAGTCCAGCAGGGTACCGAACCAGAAGCGCTTCTTGGAGGGATGGCACCCTTTGATGTCTACTTTCCTTGCTCCCTCTTGACAATGCACAGGCGCTTTGTCGGGTCCCTTGCAGCAATCACCCCGGCCTTGCCCGGAGAGACCTGTCGAGTCCATCATCTCATTCATGTATACGGGGTCGCAGACAAAGACAAGGCAAAGTGGCTGTTGCTAAACGTCTGACCTTCACAGTCTGATCGAATGCTACCGGATCTGCTGCGTGAATCATCCATTCTGCAGCATCGAACCCAACAGAGCTTCCGGCAAGCCGAACGTCTAAAATCTAAAGTAATTAGCAGGCACTCTTCGGCGCTTAACTCGGCCATGGACACTGGTCAACCAGGGCACATTGAGCAACAATGAACGGCTTTTCCAACATGGCTGTATTGCCGCGAAACTGAATGGAGCCTCAAAAGCCGTCTCCACCTCCACAGCTGCGGCCTTCACGCAGGGAGCAGTCTTGCCGTGGGCTATGCACTGCGCCATCCGCTTCACCACATCACCAAGCTCGCCTGCAGAGTGCATCCTGAGCTTCCACCCAGTCGTCCCTCACAAGAAATTTCCACTCCGCCATCGCCAAGGCTGCCGCGCGAACGGCGCTCCACCAGACGGCTCCTGGCCCGGAGGCCACGGCAGGCCAAAACCTTTCACGGTTTCAGTGCCGCAGCGCGCATCAGATGTCCCAGAGCAAGCCCAGTCCCAGTGCGCAAAGCGAGGCCAGGCCCCGGCCGGCAGAGCGAGCACTGGGGCAGGGAGCCAGGAATGGCCTGCACGCACGAAAACACACTGTTGCTGGTAACAGCTTCTTCCTGTCTCCCGATATCTGTCACGTATTCTGTCTTGTCATGAATGCTCGTTTTGTTTTTGGCTTTTTTGCCTTCATTCGCAAAAGAAACAACACACGGCTTGCCACAAGGCCTGCTGAGGTTGTTGCTCTCATCCTTGCGGCTCCGCTTGGTATCGAAGGCATGGAAGGTGCTGAAGGGGCCTCGGATGCATGTCGCACAGACCTGGAGCACATCAACGGATTGAAAGAGGCGGATTCTTTCCCAAAGCTTTGCCCGCATGCGGATTCCGATCTTTGCAATTGCACATACCCATGAGCTGCATCCGAAGATACTGCAGGTGCAGCGGCCATGAACTCCATGCCCTGCGCGAGTAAGATCCAACGAACCAACGAACTAAATTGAAACTAAGCCTTTTCTCATACACTTATTTCTAATAAGCACTTCAAGTACGACAGCCGTCCAACAAACTATGTACACCGTTTCTGTTAGCTTTTGAATATTGCAAAACTCCACGGCGTGGCACTGCCCACCTCCATGGGCTTGGCACCAGCGCGGATTGATCTTGTGACGAAGGTGCTATGACAAACTGCCGTCGACGTGCTTTGCTACGGCGAATGCAATATTTCTGAACAACAGACCTCCTCAAATGTCCACAATGCATCGCAATCACACTGATGTCCCAAATTCGGATACTGACTGCTAGAAGCCCCAACCCTGCCAGCTCCAAGAGTGCAAACGATTACTTTTTCGTGTCACTTTGAACCGTAGCAGCAGAGTCAGTATGATTGCAGGTCGAGACAGATTTCCTTGAGGCAAATTTCTTGGGAGGAGCTCAAGCACTCTCAGCCACAAGAGCATGGTTTCACACGTTTTCCCGACCACGAGCCACCGAAACCGCTTAAGGTTTAGAGTTTAGAGATGGTGATTCAAGAGGAAAGTGATGGTTTCATAACCAGCCCGGTCGGACAGGCAATCACGCTGAAGTCTGGAATCCAGCAAAGACTGTGCTGCTGACGATGAACAACGGCCAACGCAACTTGAGAGGTTCAGGGTAATTATAACCCAAGTGTAACCGTAACTATATCTCAGTTATAAAGCCCCCGAAGTCCCCCAAGCGAGTTATTTGAGTTATCCTCCCGGCAACTAGCACCTGGGGCTGGAGGCTGACGAGGGGTTCAGCACTGAAGAATTAATGTAGGGCAGGTCTCTTCACAGACCTACACTTTGCGATTTCAATCCAGCAACAGGCTGAGTGTTGCGCACGCTATCTGGGCACTGCGCTTAAGGACTGTCCAAGATGGTCCCTGTCACAGCGCAAGCTCCGAGGAGAATGCCAAGTTGGCCCGCACGTTTCCAAGCCGTCAAGCGATAATGATGCTGGGGATCTTCCCGGGGGCTACAACAGTACACCCCAGTGTCCGTCGACAGCCTGCCGGTTCTCGCACGTCGTTAAGTGATATTATATATACATATATATATATATATATATATGATCCCGGTTCTCGGTTCACCGAGCCCCCCCTCCCCCCCCAATGGTATCCCCCCCCGCTCTGCAAGCCGAATCTGTGTGTGACTTCCAAGCTTTTTCCACACGAGGGCTCACACGCCAAGCAGCCACGCAGGAAACCCAAACCACAGGGTGGGGTATCCCGAACCACACCACACCACAGGGAGGGAGGAGGAACCATTGGGGGGGGGGGGGGGGGGGGGGGGGGGGCCGGCCGAACCGGGATTATATATAGCATCCGCCGTGTTTTGCGGTGGTCCTCGGTGTTCCGCCGAAGGCCCACTCGAGGCCATCCACCAGCGCACATGCAAGACCGGCAGGACGTGCCAAACCAAGTCGCACAGATCGTGCCTCCAGGCCCGCATGGAACACGCAAGGTTGGCATTTGGGTGCCAGGACCTCATAGGCATGCGATTTGACGAGACGGCAGTACCAGACACTGGTTGGCCTGGTTGAGGACGCGGACTACATTCTCCTAAAGTTGCAACTAACTAGACACAAGCGCTGGGGCCTGACCGACATCATAGATGTTCAGAAAGACTAGCCGACGAAGCGGCACATCCTCCTCTGCATTAGCCCGACGTTCGCACAAATTGGTCCAGCGACTTGTGGCCTGCTCCATGCTCCCTGCACATGGAGCCCAAGTCTGCCCCTCCTGGCGACACTCCGGGGTGACATCACGTCTGCTCTTTGCAACTGCTGCTTACAATGAACCTCACTGACTTTGCCCTGCATTGCTCAGGACTTGCACGGCACCTCGCCAACTCTTGGCAGCAGATTGTAGAATCGAACATCCTGCTGCAGGCACACAAAGCCCAAATTCACATGCTATGCCCAAGTAGCGCATCCTCAACTCTGATGGTCATCTCCCGGTTTTGCGTCGGACTGAAGTGAACCTATAAGCATCCACGGGCCGGAACTGCAGCCAGCTAATTGAAACGTGGACATTATCGGGCATTCAACCACCAAATCTGCCCTGGGCAAATCAGAACCACAGGGCTGAGGGAAATGGGCAAATGCTGGGCCAAATCTAACGTGGACCCTGAAGCCGTTGCAGAAGATGACCAGAACCTGGCATTCGCCTGTCAGTTGGCCACTTGGCTCTTAAATCCTGGACGCAGCATCTTAAGCCCAAGCTGGGATGCTGTCCGGCCACAAGCCTGGAGGCACCTCCTGGCGGAGAGACACAAAGAAACCATTAAGTTTGCCATGTTGTGGGCGGTCTTGAGAGTTTCATGTTTTGGACCGGTGTTTGTCGGTGTTTGCCCTTCCGCGGCTGAATCCGAGAAGAGACGATGGTTGACGCCATTTACTGAATTTATTGTGTCCGTGCCGTGCGAATAACGCGCGGATCTGCTGGTGGCGGCGCTTGCCTGCACAGGTGAGTGGCCGCAGCTCCCGCCTCTGCGAGATGTTTGCCTGCGCAAGTGAGCGTTTGCCTGGACCTGCAACGGGCTTGCCCTAAACCTAAACCCTGACTTCAAAACCCTAAACCCTAAATTCAAAACCCCAAACCTAAACTCTAAAGCTAAACCCTAAATTCAAAACCCGAAACCTAAACCCTGAACCCAAAAACCCCAAACCCAAAACCCAAACCATAAACCCAAAACCTCAAACCCAAAAGCCTAACCCCAAATATCGGTGTTACGTTTTGGTCTAAAAACATCTGCGGGTTGCCAGAGCTCAGAAGTCGGGCTGCTGCACAAAACTCTACAAGGGTCTTTTCATTTTGGGCACATACTTTGATTTCGGCTCAACAGCACAGCAAATGCACAGATTGCTTTGCTACGTCACGTAGGAGTTCGGTGACGCACTAGCTAAAAAAAAAGTTTCTTGTTGCGAAAACTTCGTGGTGCAAAACAAAGCGTGTTTGCAAGTTCGTTGGCAATCTTCCGCATGCGACATGCCAGCGCTCCGGCAACAAGGTGGGACAAAGGTCAGGCACTCACGTCTTGGCATTCCGCAGCTTCTGCTTGCACCGTGCAAACATCTGACTTCTGATTGCATCAAAAAAAACATCTGACTGCTTTCCGAGTTGATCGCTGCAAAGCGCCATCCAAGTGCTTACGAAAACGTGAAAACAAGTTCGTTGGCAAACTTCCGCGCAACCTGCCAAGTTCCATGCAAATGCATCTCCTGGCGGCTGCTGAGCGGGTAATCACTCTCCGCCGTAACCTTTGACGGATGGAAGAAAGTTGATGCCCGATTTAGTTTGCGCTGCGGGATGATTTCGAACGCTGTGTCATTGCACTGGGTCAATGTCGTTGAATGTGATGCTTTGCAGTGATATCAACTTGGAAAGAAGTCAGATGTTTCATTTTGATGCAATTAGAAGTCACATCCTCAAACGGAGTGGCATTTTTTTGAGAAACTTCTCGCTGGTTGGACGCCTGCCGACTGCTGCAGCACCAAAACTTTTTAGAGCTCTGGCCTGTTGAGTGCTACAGTGAGAAAGTTCTGTTTGGCAAGGTTCACCTGTTTCCGAGCGTTCCACTTGTTATTTTGAGTTTTGAAGGAACACCGGCAAAATGCAGAACAGCTGGCAAGGTTTATCTGTTGCACGCACCGGCCAGCTGTGTACGCAGATGTGGCATCTGCTCGACGAGAAAAGGGCATAACTGGGCCCCAGAAATGGCTCCCAAATCTGAGCTCTAATTTGGGGCCCCGAATTGCGTGAGCTTGTATGTCCAACGAAGAAAGCCAAAATCTGGGGCCCGTTTCGGTGACCGGACTAGAGCTGCTTTTTGAAACCCGCTTCAGCTGGAAAACTGCACGGAAAAACAAAATTCCTTCCGCGTGCTATTTAGATTTAGATCAACGTCCAAGAAAGCCAGCATGCTGTGAAAGGTGAGATACTTTTGGAAAATTTGCCAAACTTGCCATCGGCTGGCGTTTCAAAACAAGTGCTTCTGTTCTTGTTCGTTCAAGATAATTCCCGCACTGTGTGAGAAAGTTCTGTTTGCAAGGTTCACCTGTTACCGAGCGTTCCACTTGTTATTTTGAGTTTTGAAGGAACACCGGCAAAATGCAAAACAGCTGGCAAGGTTTATATACTGTTGCACGCACCGGCCAGCTGCGTACGGCTCGACGAGAAAAAGGGCATAACTGGGCCCCAGAAATAGCTCCCAAATCTGAGCTCTAATTTGGGGCCCCGAATTGCGTGAGCTCGAAGAAAGCCAAAATCTGGGGCCCGTTTCGGTGACCGGACTTGCTTTTTGAAACCCGCTTCAGCTGGAAAACTGAGGATGGGCCCCATGTTTGCGTAAACCTCTAAAGGGGTAGCTCTAACAGGTACCTACAGCAATGGCTGCATGCTCATACATATACATTCCGCTGCCCATTGGCTCACAGTGGTTTTACCATATTGAGACAAGACAAGCTCTCCTTGCGTAGCAAGACAAAACAACTACTGTCCGTGTGCAGGGCGCTGCCCTTTGATCCTTAGGGAATAAACTGGTCATACACCTCCTAACAAGGAGCATTTCCTTGTGGGTGTATCGGCTCAGTTTTCTGGTAGCGGAGCCCGGAAAGGGCCGCCCGCCTCCCAAAGTCCGCTACAGCGGTCGGCCTCGCCGAACGCTTAACCAAGCGGATAAGAGGCAGCACAATGTCGAGCTCGCATAGCGAAGCCGACGACAGTTCCCAATCCTCCGGGGGATATGAGAACGAAGAGACCTCCCAAGGTCCAGCCACTTATGTCGCACAGTCATATGCAACATCTGACCGCATGCTTGCATCATTAGGCATAACGCCCAAGATCGCGCCTGCCTATGATGGCACCACCTCGTGGTTTGAGTATGAACAGTTGATTGACGACTGGTGCGACATAACAACGCTGGATGACACCAAAAGAGGTCCGTCTCTCAAGACGAGGCTCTCCGGATTGGCCGCAGTACAAAAGGAATCACTGAACCGAGAAAGGCTTGCAGCCCCAGATGGAGTAGATTACTTCAAGAAGAAGATGCGTCCATTTTTCGTGAAAGGAGAACAGTACGTTTTCCTGTGGCGTTTCCTCGGCCTATTCAAGGC